TTCTTCTTCTTCTTCTTCTCCTCCTCCTCCTCCTCATGCTGCTAACAGGAATCTCTTTACTGCAGGATCTTATCGCTCCCCCAGCTGTCACAGCATCCTTTCCTGAACATCCCACAACTGTAATCCCATCAGAAACCTTCTCTCTAGGGGTGGTGGGCTCCATCACATGAGAGAGACCTCAGAGCAAATGGAAGGGGCACGGAGAGATCTGGACTGAGAGGAGACAGCTAGACAGAGAGGCCCATGGGAGGCTTAGAGCCCAAGGCGGGAAGATGTGGGTTCTCGTTCAGGACCTTGACGGCTGAGAGTCTCTGAACTCTGGGAAGGCAGCCCAGAGGCTGATGATGACTTGGGTCTCCTGTGTGTCTCATGCTGAAGACTGCAGTGGCGGGAGCTTTCTGAGTTAGTCTCTCGTGTCCATAAGTTCACAGGGTGAACAGCTCCTCCCAGAGCTTTCCCTGCTGCATAGTGTGTCCAGCCCTTCAGTTCAGTGGGTGCCTGGAGGTTATGTTTATGAAAGCTTTGCCCCAGCACACTCCATGTTGGGGAGGCATTAGTTGTGACCTTCCTATGTTCAAACATAGTGGACCCAGGATGGGGAGACACTCAGCCAATAAAGTGCTTACCAAGTGTGATGGTTTTAGTTGCCAATGTGGCAGAACCCAGAATCACCAGGGAGACAAGCCTCTGGCCACACCTGTGAGGAATTATCTTGGCTTGAGGTGGGAAGACCCATTCTAAAAGTGGTGGCTCCATTCCCTAAACTTTGGGTATAAAAGTATAAAAGGGAAAGTGAGCTGAGCACATTCATTGCTCTCTACTCCCTGACTGGATGCACTGCAACCAGCTGCTTCCGGTTCCTATTGTCCTGACTTCCTGCTGTGATGGACTGTACTCTGAACTGTTCCTACTGTTTTGTCTTCCTGCTGTAATGGACTGTCCTGTGAACTGTGAATCTCTTTTTCTCGTAAGTTGCTTTGGACAGAGTATTTCATCACAATTAGCAAAAACCTACCTGAGACACTGTGCAAGTTCCATTCCCAAAACCATATTGAAGAAAAAGCTGGGCATGGGGACACATACTTGCAATCCCAGCCCTGGGGAGATAAAGACAGAGGATCCTTGGGGCTCATTGGCAAAGTCCAGCCAGTGAGAAACCAAGTCTCAAAAATTCAATAAAATAAAAATGAAATGGATTACACCTGAGTGAAGACATCTAAAATTGTACTTTAGCCTCCACATGCACACATACACATGCACATGCACACATACACATGCACACATGCACACATGCACATGCACATGCACACATGCACATGTACACATGCACACATACACATACACATGCACATGCACACATGCACATGCACACATACACATGCACACATTCACATGCCCATATGTGCACATGAACACACACAGTAAAATAAACACTAGAGACTGGACAGATGGCTCAGTGGTTAAAAGTGTTTGCTGCTCTCTCAGAGGACCTGAGTTTGGTTCCCAGCCCCCTCTTCACATGGCTCTCAACAGCCTGTGACTCCAGCTCCAGAGAATCTGATACCTCTGGTCTCCATGGGCACTGCACTCACATGCACATATCATCCCACCACAGACACATAATTAAAAACAATAAAAACTTAAAATGAAAGAACACGGGAAGCAGGAGAGGCCCTGGAACATGCGAGGCCTCATTTACAGTCACATGCACTGTGGCTTTTCTTGGGAGGTGACTCCAGCTCCATTCACAGCAGGGCAGGTGGCACTCCTCAGGGTCTTCACTTGCTGGCTCCAGTGCCATGTGTGGGTTCCTCCTCTTCCAGGGCTGGAGACTAAGGTTTTGGGGGTGTTGAAAAGACAGATTGCTCATTATGGTCTCTTACAGCTCCAACCCCACCCACGGCCTCCTGGAGGACAACAGCCTTGGCCTCTGCCACCAGCTCTGTCACTGGCAGGTACTGCGGACTCCCTGTCCTGTCCTGTTAGTCTTGTGCTTCCTCCCACTCTCCTGACTATAGCTCCCTAATTGTCATGCTGATAGGTGCCCAGCTCTCACAGGACGGATGGATTCAGATGGCCACTTCTGATCATTTTATATAGGCCTCGATCTTCTCATCTGCAAAATGAGATCACAATAATATTCCTGTAT